TTTTTTTGTTCACTGACTGGAAGGCAGGAGCTTTTTCTCAGTGTTCTATGAGGTTATTTGAGCAGCTTGTACTTTATCAATAATACTTGGAGAATCTCTCACTCTTATTGTCTTGACTTCTGTTCTTTTTTCAGCATAAAATACATTTATGTGTAAAATACACAAATACATACAAATGTAGTTCTTGTCCCTGTCTCAAATCTGACTTTCCCAATTACTACATGACAACAAACAAGCAGCACAAATGAGAGGAATTTGCAGTGACTCTAGGGGAGAACAATATTAAGTAGCTTTAAGGAATATTGCTGATGTTTTCCTCTTTAGCTCCAGGAAGGAGAATTATACAATATGCCATTTCCTGGCTTTTGGCTTTGCAGGTGATGTTACAGCAGGCTGAGGTAGGAAATTCTTCTGTCAGTGCTGGTGTCTGAAATAGGGGCAAGCTCAGGGAGTTTGATGGAATGATTAAGCAAGATTTCATGAGTCTGGCAGGTTCTTGTTTTCAGAAAATAACCAGACATTTCCAACCACTACAAGAAGTTACCTGGGAGCAACTTGACCTGGAAATGTTGTTTGGGCCTCCAAATTACTTCTTTTCAGAACTCATTTTTTAAATGCAAGTTGGTTTGGGTTTTTTTAAGTTACTGTTAATTGAGGAATATTTTGAGATTATCAAGTATCAGCAGCTCTTCACTGAAAAAGAAAGACTTTTTTATGATAGGAAGTTTAAATCTATGAATAGCTGTATGAGGAAATTAAAGCTGTACAATAGTTTAACTGTTCAGTGTGTGTTTTCAAAATAACACCTCAATTGGAAAATAAGATTGATTAACTCTGTTGAGGATAGCTGAGTTATAAAATTAACAATTCAAAGTAACTCTTTTTTTTTTTTTAGAAAAATACTTTATATAATGCTCTTAGAAGTAAATGCAAATTATTTGTATCTGCATATATGAAATGCATCAGGGTGTTTGTCAGCTCTAGTTTGTACTTGTACTTCCTCAGAACCTTTCAGCAGAGTGTTCTGTTTTCATTTTGTCCTATCTGTCAGAAATCTTTGATTTGAAAGCTTGCCTGCTTTCTTGCTTGATAGATGTAATGGAACTCTGACTAAAGTAATTTTTTCTTTCTTTTTTTCTTTCTTTTTTTACTGAAACAGCTGTTATACATCTCTAAATTTAATGAAAACTGTAAATACTAAATCTAAATTTTCATCTTTGTGTAGCTTTCCTACCCAGAAAGCCTAATTTTTACTGTCATAGTAATGAGTTTATTGTATGAAAGTATATTTTTTAAACAAGCTGTAAAAAATCTGAAAATATAACTCTGTACATAATCATTCTCATGAATAGTCATTACCAGGCTTTTGAAGTTCATTTATAAAAGCAAAAGGAATGAAGTAACTTGCTCAAAGGTGTGCTTTGTGTCTTTTGCTGAACTGCTGAAACACATAGATGCAGTTGTTCTGTTTCTCCAACTTTATTAAGTTATAAAGTTTATAAAAGTTTTCGTAACTTCCATTGTCAGAGACTGTAGTGACCAACCCCTGAAAGAGACAGAAGCAACTATCTGAAATCTCTTTTTTTTCAATAATTATAGATGTTAGGTTAATTTATGCAAAAGAAACAAAGTAGCACCTATTGTTTGTGAAGTTGTGTATAGAAATGTTTGCAGGTTTTCCTCTCCTGTGCTCTTTAATATTAAATCAGTGTAACACTAAACCCAAAATGGCTGTGTTTTAACTTTTTATTGTCTCCTTGTGCACGTGTCTGCTTGTCCCATGAATGTCTTGTGGGTGTTTGTGGTCAGCATAAACCCTGCCTGTGTGCAGTGTGTGATGTGTGTCCCATCCTTCCATCGAGATTCTTCTTCTGAAGTTTCCAAATTGAATTTTTATATTGTGTCTCCACACCCAACACTCTGTACCAGGGACACTGGCTAGCTGTGTGGGGGTTTAACCCTTGAGGCATATCACAGTTCTTCCTCAAAGGTCTTTGCTCAGTGGAAACACAGTTTGCCTCTAAGTCTTGTTCTTTTTTAAGCAGATGGAGATTCTGTGCCCTCCACCTTACAGAGATGGGTGTGATAAAGTTGGGTCAGAAAACTTCATTGCATTTTATTTCTTCAGTGGGTGTAGAAGCCCACTGTGTGAATTCTGAATTCATCATGTGTTGTTTGCTTTTTCAGCAATGCAGCAAAGGCAGAAAGTGTGCATTAGAAACGTTTAAAAAATCCAGAATTAAACATTGCCCCTTCCTTTCCTGTGTTTGTGTCCATGATCCATCCTGAGTAGATGTCATGCCCAATGGTTAGCAGGAGAGGAAACTCAAACCATCCTGTTACAGTGGCTTTCAGCTGGTGTCTGTAGGGTCTTGTGGTGTGTTGGATACTTCTGAAAGATTTACAGGTGCTAACAAAGAACTTTTGTCAAAATAGGCTTAAATTTGCTATGCAGGGAACTTCCCCACTCTCAGAAATGGAGTAGTTTAGGAGATCAACCTTTTGAAAAAAATAACAAAAAAAAAGGAATATGGGTCCTACTCAAGATGAAATAGAGCATAAAATGTGGTGTTTCCATTCTGCATTCTTTCTTTTACTTCTATAATTCATTTTTCCAGTCATAATTACATGGAGGGTTTTCTTGCTCAGTATTAGCAGGAGCCAGCCTTTCAGAAGAGTTATTTTAATCAGGCTTTGTTACAGATTTTACAGCTGCCCATTATACTCAGATAACTGTATTATGTAGCTGGAGGGGGTGTGGATAAAAATCTGAACTGCCATTTCTGCTGTAGATAGCTGACATTCTTTTGCTCTCTACCTGTAGGAACTTCCAGCCCCTTTGCTTGATGATACCTATGGGAAGGAATTGGGAGATGAAGCAGCAGCTGTTAAGTCTGAGGATTTTCAGGATTCTATGAAAATAGCCTGGCGCTACCAAAACTTACCAAAAATGGAGGTAACAGCTGTTTCCTACTTCTTTCCTCTTGCACTCAAAATGAATTTGAAAATCAGCAAATGCTTTTCAGTAGAATCTAAACAACAGAACTGCTAATGGGCAGTGTTACAGGATTGCCTCTTGAGGGAAAACTATCATACACCACTGAATGTTTTAATTACTGGTGATACAAAAAGAAAGGGAATTTGAGAGTTTGCAGATACTCTAAAACTCAATACAGACAATAGTAATTTTAAAATTTAAAAAAAAAATGAAGTTCCATGGGATTTTTCAAGGAGTATTATTAAAATGAGACAGCTTTTTCTGGAAGTTAGGATAATGTGCTTGCTTACAAACTTGGACCAAATTCAGTTGTACACAAATTACTTAAGTAGGTTTAATCAACAGGACTTACTAGATGTCTGCAGTGAAAGTACTGTGTTGAAGCAAGCTGTTGACCTGCTTATCCATGTGCATAACAACTAAAGCAAGCACTTGAGATTATATCAGCTTCACTGTCCCTGGAAACTAATCACTGTGCAGGGACAATGTAAGAAACAAGCTCCGTGGTCAGTCTTTCAGAGGTTACAGTTGTTAGTGTTTTGTGAATAATCAATCTCCCATGGCTGGTGACTTTCTTCTTTAATCCAGTGGCACAATCAATCTTTAACAAAATCACAGCATTTCTGACTATCCAGAATAAAATCCTGGTTTTGTCTATACATTTTAGTCTACATTTACAAAGTCCGGTTTGGATGTAGTCATACCTGCCTAGTAAGTTCACTTGTATTCTTAAAAACATAATTGGAATGTGACAAAATGATCTTACAAGGCTTGGCATGTTTGGTTTTCTGTGAAATTGCACAGACATGGCTATATAGTTGTGTCAGAAAAGACTTATATATGGTGACATGCCAAATCAAACAGCCTCCAGGGTAATCATATAATCTCATCAATTTTATTATTGTGGAGCTTGCTGTGCCACTCTGAACCATCCCCAAAATAATTTGTCTTAAAATCTTAACATTTGTTTTAAAATCTAGCAGAGTTCCTTCTACATTGATATGAAAACAATTGCATGTTGTTAACAAATTGTGTTCTGATGTTCTAACAAAATAGGAAAATTATTTAAAAATTCAGTTGGGTGTGCACTCATCTTCTTTAACTTCATAGCAGTAAACTCTTCTTCCACTAATGTAATATTTCTTGAAAATGTGTGATGTACGTGCCCTTGATTATTGCAAATTGATTTTGCAAGATAGAATAAGATGGTCAGTCTTTTTGAGGAAGTTTCCCTTGTTATTGTTACTTTTTGAATTGGTTCTTGACCATTCTCAATAGTTGAGGTACAATATTTTTATGTGTATGTTAAATTTATTCAAAATTTAAAACATGCAAGTAAAAGTATCAGCCTTAAAGTATCTATAATTAAAAATCCTCAGGACGTTTTAATTGGTGAAAAATTGGTTTGAAATTTATATTTTTTGATATTTTGTATTGCAGTTATAAAATTTTCGCTCTGTTCTATATTCATTGGATTGGTGATTATACTCTGAGGAAAAATCTGATACTGCCTTGCTACCCATAACAATACATTTAGTTCAATAATTTAATGAAAAACTTTGGTTGTGATTCTTCTTTAAATGGTCTTTTGCTGGTAAAAACCACTGTTGAATAAAATTTCAAGGCATATTTTCCAAACTGATTGAACTAATATGCCAGTGCATTTTCAAAAACTACTGTCAAATAGTTTTAACTGTGAAAGAGAAAAATTACCTTTGCCTTTAGCTAGAACTCTAAACATGATAGCAGAAACTTTTCTATCCATTATCTGGCTAAATACAGAGCAAAATGCTGAGTAAGAGATATCTTTGTGGTATTTTTCATGATTAATTTGGTTACTGGTTTTGAGTAAAAATAGATTTTGATTAGTAGTTCAGATATTCCCTTTCCATTTATTAGAGCCAGTTTACACCAGCCAGGTACCTGGTTTTTGTGCCTGTGTATGATATTTGTATTAGTGCTCTCCACAGCTGTCACACTTTCTCTCTACATATTGCACATACCTTGCATCAGAAGAAAATAGAAGATTTATAAGAAATCTTGTAGTGAAAGTGAGTGAAAGGCCTTGTTATGCTTGATGTGCCTTTGCCAGTTTGCTACTTATATCTGTATCAGAGGTGAATTTAATTTAAACTTTTGAGTATATGGAGAGCCTGTTTTGCTATGCAAGACAGTGTGGTTTTTCTTTTTTTTTTTAATGAACTGCTGATGTTCTTGGGGCAATATATAAACTGTCACAGCATGAAATCAATTTTCTGCCTTGGTTCATCCTAAATCTGAGATTTCTAGCACATTAGTATTGCAATTAGAAACACTAACAGCAGACGGTAGCATAAAAGCCCTCTCTGCTCGCTGACAATTGAGCACATTTCTCCTTGTGCAGAACAGGAAAGAGCTGGGCTGAGCCTGCAGCCCGCTGGTACAGA